GTCGAGGGCTCAGGGGGAATAAATCTCCATGAGATTTCCCTCAAATTGTTCCATCAGGGACTTGGCTTTGCTCCCCTATGATTATCTTTCCTAAAACTCTGTGGAGGCAGGAGGACGATTTATATCTATCCCCTATTCCAGTCGTCCCAGTCTGCACCCCTTTCCTGCACAGATCCCTAGACAAGCAATAGGGGCTCTTTGGAGTCTAGAGAAAGTTGTTTGACTTAGCTCCTGCATTGGAGAGGAGAAATACACATGCAGAGGGTCTCTTCTGCATGCAGATCTGAAGACATGACCCCCAACTCAATCAGGAATAGAATCCAGGTCTACTAACTCCAGTTTCTCCTGCTCTAACCAGAAAGTCTCCCAATCTGTCAGCTGTGTTCCCTATCCACTCCCTATGTGAAATGCTTCTTTGTAATTTGTCCCTGAAACAGGTACTGTATGTACTTTGCTAAATGGACTCCCAAGTCATTCAGGTGCAACTCCACTTTTGGTACATAGTGTCTCTGTGTTTTTTGGCAACAGGCTATTTGGTGAGAATTTAGAGCAACTCTCAGTATGTCAATACAGCACATGGAACATGTATTCAGACACCACTCTCAGGAAGAGCACACACTGATGAAGAGCACCATCCTGCTAACTAGGATGTCCCCGAAAATGCAGAAGTCACATCTGAGGGAACACTCCTGGGACCACATGAGTAGAGTTAACTGAAAAACCAGTTTAAAAAAAATGCTTCTTTTTTTACTTTTTATACTGGCTGGAAAACTGAACATTTTTTGGTTAAAATTGATGACATTTTATTATTATCAAAAAATTGGGGAAGATTTGGAGAGAAGGGCAGTTGACAGGCAAGGATGGCAAATGTGGGTAGCCCAATGTGCTGCTAAGCATGGGATAGACTAAGGTCCAAGGTAATTTGAATTTTTGATTTAAAATATCTTTGGGGAAAAAAATTTGGAAAATTCTGAGCAGCTCTACACATAAGCATCCACATACTCATGGAAAGCTCCCAGGACCACAGAAGCATGCTTGGTCCTGCCTCAGTATAGGGGGCTAGACTGGATGGCTATTCAAAGTCCCTTCCTGCCCTACATATCTATGATTCTATAATTGTCCCAGGCAGGGGTAGTCCGTGGGCCAAATCCAGACCACCAAACACTTTTGTACAGACCCCAAAATCTTTTTATTTACTTATTATCATCATTATTGTTATTCTTTTTTATTACTACTTTCTCTGGAGTCTGAACCTTGACTATACCTTGACCAAGAAATTTGGACCTTGGCAAAAAATAATTGACTACCCCTGGTCCCAGGGAACTCTCCAGAGAGCAAATGAGTAGTGTCTGAGGGAGCCCCATTGAGAACATCACACGAGACAGGCTCACTTGTGCTCATTTCTAAATGCTGGAGAATTTTTCAAATGGAGAATCCCTCACACTCTTGGAATGACTGGAGCAGGAGCTTCTAATTTAGATTCCTCTGTCATGCCCAGCGGTGGCTGGTTTGGAGGGCAGTAGCTCATCCAGCCTTGAGCTGTATGCAAGGCTTTATGGCATTTAAATCCTACCTTCTCCTTTGAATACTTTGCCTCTAATTCTCACCACTCCACTTTTTTCCCAAAGCCTGATCCTTCAGAAAGTATGTGATGGCTTTATTGATGCCAATAATAATAAGGGGGGGGGAGGGGAGAGATAGCTCAGTTGTTTGAGCATTGGCCTACTAAATCCAGGGTTGTGAGCTCAGTCTTTGAGGGGGGCCATTTAGGGATCTGGGGCAAAAATTGGGGATTGGCCCTGCTTTGAGCAGGAGGTTGGACTAGATGACCTCCTGAGGTCCCTTCCAACCCTGATACTCTATAATTCTATGCTAATAGTCTTAGGCCATCAGGAAAAATATTACACAGTCTATTAAACCAACTGACTCCAGTTGGCAATAAGAATGTGTTTACATTGTGACACAGGTAAGTAAATTACAGGTAACACCTCAGTGTTTATTAGAACTGTACATAGAGGTTAAACAAGTGCTATAGAGAAACACAACAACCAACAACAATGAAGCAAAAAAACTACAATGAACTGAAGCCTATTCCACAATGCTTTGCAAGATCATATCAAACACCAAACAGGAAACTATGGAATTAGTTAACAATTAGCTGCGTGTATCTTCTGCAGAAGGTGCACCTATAAAAGAGTGTCATGTGCTGTGGGATTTTAAATAATCCGCTTGGACTGTGGGAGAGCCAGTCTTGCAACAAAAATAGTGCCCCAAACACATTTATCTTGTCCCAGCTGTTCTTCCAGTGATTCCCAAGGTACTTCACACTAAGATTTTCAAAAGTGAGCAGAGACTGAGTGCCTCAATTCTGAGGTGTCCAACATGAGTGATGAATACTTGGAGCTATATTTTAAGGCAAGATGGCTAAGTATTCAGGGTTTGGTGACCAACAATCTCATCTGCATAACTCTCAACAAAGTCTGAATGTGGGAGCTAAAAATTACTCAAGCGATATTTTTAGTTATGTACAACACTTGTTACAACCTCAGTTTTGTGCTTCAGCATTTGTTCTGTACATAATTTACAGTAATTACAGAAGTGGGGTAACAACAGGCATTTATAGGGAAGTCAATTTAGATCTCAGATGAGAGATATTCCTTGTAATGAGGGACAGTAGAGTTGAATAGTCACTGGGCATGTTGTGTAAGGCAATCAGAGTCACCCATGTGATGTTATGAGTGTAATATAATATCTCATTGAAAGGTGACATAGGGCCGGAAAGAGTTAATTAACTCACAGACTTACCTGACCCGACCCATGGCTGAACTTTAAAGACTGGTTAGGAAGATATGTAAATGAATAGAGTTTTGAAATGTAAACCTGCATTGTTAGAGATAGAAGAGTAGATGTTTGCTCAGGTCTTGTGACGTACGCAAACAAGTCTTGTCTATTGCTATAGCTTTGATTCAAAGATCAAAAAAGGAGTATTACTATTTAGGAAGACACTTGAGGGAAATAGTATTATTGTCTATATGTCTCTTTGAAAGTTGTGGTAACCTGTATCTGAACTGTTTAATGGATAAATTACCCTGTGCTAATTGCCATGATGTTGGGAGAAGGAAAGTTAAGCCTAATGTTTTCTCAGGCCAAAAAGCTGCTGGAAATGTATAAAGCCCCTGGGACATGATCCTTCTTCATCTCAGATTTGCTTTGGGTTTCAAGAAGCGGAAACCCTAAGCCATAAGAACTGATTTCCCCAGTCACTCACTGGAGTCACCCTGAATATGGACATTGGACTATAACCTATGGACTATTTCCAAAAGGACTTTTGGCAACTATAAGCTCATCTCTACTATGTATCTGAACCTCAAGAATTGAATTCAAGTCTGTCTGTATATTGATCTTTTAACCAACTCTCTCTCTTTTCTTTTTTAATACATTTTAGCTTAGTTAATAAGAATTGGCTATAAGTGTGTATTTTGGGTAAGATCTAAGTTATAATTGGACCTGGCTGTGTGGCTGATCCTTTGAGATTGGAAGAACCTTTCCTTTTATATGATGAGATAAGATTTTCAGTAATCATCATCATAACTGCCATGTGTGTCTGGATGGAGACCTGAGGCAGGGCACTTTAAGGGAACTGCGTTGTTTGGACTTCTGAGTAACCAGTGAGGTAATACAGAAGCTGTTTTGTGCTGTCTTGGTAAATCTAAGTATTGAAATATCCACCAGCTTTCGGGGTTTGTCTGGCCAGTTTTATTTGCAGTTCACCCTCAATTAGGGTGGCTGATTACAGCTGGCTCCCACGGGCAGCATCGTCACACTGCATACAAAGTTAAACTAGAATTCCAGGTGAAAAAATGTGCAAGCTCTCCAAAACATGCAACAGATATGTGTGCTGCTGAAGGAATCCACTGGAGAGTAGGAAGGGAAATTGAAGCTCACACACAATTAAGGCAAATTCAGTCTGCAAGTTCTTCAGAAAATCCATTGCAGGCAAGGGGAAAGCAAATGTCATTTATTGTCAGAATATGGGGATGAAGCTTCTCCTAGAGCTAGATTCAGCCTGCACTGGATAAGATTTCAAGGCCCTAAGGCTGGCCTTTCACACCTTTAGTGCCTGTATAGGCAGCCTGACTGATGTAATCAGATGCGCTCCGATTGTAAAAATCAAAGAAAAGGAAAGATAAAAGAGAATCCTAAAATATCAGCCTCAGAGAGAAGCTTCTGCCTGATTTCCACCCACAAATCCCACTGAAGTTAATGGTAGCTGGAGGTGCTCAGCACCTTTCAAAAATCAGACCACTTTTCTTTTGCAGAGGACACTGCTTTTCTCCTTAATGTCGGCACTTGTCTTGTGTGCAGTTAACAAAATAAACTAAAACAATGAGGAATACTTGTGGCACCTTAGAGACTAACAAATTTATTCAGGCATAAGCTTTCATGGGCTAAAACCCACTCCATCAGATGCATAGAGTGGAAAATACAGTAGGAAGATATATATACATAGTACATGAAAAGATGGGGATTGCCTTACCAATTCTAATGAGACAATTCAATTAAAATGGGCTATTATCAGCAGAAGGAAAAATCACATTTGTAGTGGTAATCAGGGTGGCCCATTTCAAACAGTTGACAAGAAGGTGTGAGTAACAGTAGGGGGGAAAATTAGCATGGGGAAATTAGTTTTTAGTTTGTGTAATGACCCGTCCACTCCCAGTCTTTATTCAGGCCTAATTTGATGGTGTCCAGTTTGCAAATTAATTCCTGTTCTGCAGTTTCTCGTTGGAGTCTGTTTTTGAAGTTTTTTTGTTGAAGAATTGCCACTTTTAAATCTGGTTTCAGAGTAACAGCCATGTTAGTCTGTATTCGCAAAAAGAAAAGGAGTACTTGTGGCACCTTAGAGACTAACCAATTTATTTGAGCATAAGCTTTCGTGAGCTACAGCATACATATGCATCCGATGAAGTGAGCTGTAGCTCACGAAAGCTTATGCTCAAATAAACTGGTTAGTCTCTAAGGTGCCACAAGTACTCCTTCACTTTTAAATCTGTTATTGAGTGTCCAGGGAGGTTCAAGTGTTCACCGACTGGTTTTTGACTGTTATAATTCTTGACGTCTGATATGTGTCCATTTATTCTTTTGCGTAGAGACTGTCCTGTTTGGCCAATGTACGTGGCAGAGGGGCATTGCTGGCACATGATGCCATATATCTCATGGGTAGATGTGCAGGTGAATGAGCCCCAATGGTATGGCTGATGTGGTTAGGTCCTATGATGGTGTCCTTTGAATAGATATGTGGACAGAGTTGGCAACGAGGTTTGTTGCAGGGATAGGTTCCTGGGTTAGTGTTTTTGTTGTGTGGTGTGTAGTTGCTGGTGAGTATTTGCTTCAAGTTGGGAGGCTGTCTGTAAGTGTGGACTGGCCTGTCTCCCAAGGTCTGTGAGAGCGAGGGATCGTCCTTCAGGATAGGTTGTAGATCCTTGACTAATAAACTAATGGATGTTAAACTCATTCATTGTGATGAGATGGTGAGAGGGAAATAACTCCAGGAAAGGGGGAGCAGGAGATTTGGTATCTTAGCCAGTCAGGCACTGCTGGATACATTCCCATGTACACTGCTGAAGTCTTTCAACTGGCTGGCTCCTTCAGTTCTTCAAGATCTAAAAGCAAAACGGAGAAGCTGAGTGCAAGAACTGGGTGCTACACTGAAAATGGCATTACATAGGCCACTGGAGCAGATATAAGCATAGGAGTGGGATGCAAAAGCTTAGCTAGTCTTATCTAATCAAAAGTGAAAATAAAGCAGTCGTGTACTGTGAAGCATGTGTATATATCACCAGAGAGAGAGAACCATTTCTGATCTCATTGCAATGGCTGAGGCCACTCATTTTATCTTATGTTTATGCCTTTTATTTCAAGCTAGCTACCAAATAAAAGAAAATTAAAAAATAAATCTAGTTCCTTTTGGGTTGGCAAAAAATATAGTACAGTATCTTAGATTTAGACTTTTCATACTGCTTTTGACCTGCAAAATCTTCAGAAACAGGAATCACTTCACCCACTACTGCAGTGCTGCCACGTCTAGGCTGGAATGTGGCAACTGTTTAACAGTGCACAGTAACACTACACCACAGGGTAGTACAGGAAATGAGGAGAAATGTTGTATCCAGCTGATACTGAAGAAGATACTACCCATGTGTAACTGCTACTTCATTCACTAATCAAGCCAGGTTTCTGCTTGATTTGACCAACTGAGATCAAGATTTCTTCATTACTAGAGAGTGTGCCCAGGAAATGCTCCTCTGGATTAGCAATACATTTCTGTAGATCAGGGACTCGGAGTAACAACGTAATGGTTTGGGCTCAGTGCCTTCCATTGTGGGTACACAGGAAGATTTTTGTGTAGATGAGATGCACAGAATTGTTGGCCACCCAATAACTGCCAGTGTTAGTGTTCATCATTCTTTATGCTCTCCATGAGCTAGTGTCCATCCAGTCATGCTAACCCTGGAAAAAGTGGCACTCACCTAGAAGAGCTTCTCATAGCACTGGTCACAGTGGACAATGTCACGATGAATGAATATTTTATCCAGGAGGTCTCCCATTGCCTTATGGCAAATCCCACACTGTGGAAACAAAAACGGGGTTGGATGGTTACCAGAGCCCTATTTAGAAGCATATATAGGAAGAGGATTGAGAAATGAGTGGCAATCTCTGTATTTTTTAAGTGAACTTAAAGCTGGTGAAAGGTGCTGGATTAATGGCCCTGAGGTCTAAAAACCTCTGCTTCTGTAAAGAACAGGTACAGCACAAGCCATATCACAGCAAGCTCCCCATATACACCTCACCACCTCAATGTACATCAACCTTGAGGAATGTACATCAACTTCAGGAAGAGAGGGAATGTCAGTCTCCATAACACATCCCAAACTTGGCCTCTCTGATTGGGATGCTAATTGTGTGGTCGACGTTTTAATGCAGACAGTAGTCAACTGTGAATTAAGGCCACCAACTAAATTCAGATAGCAGATACCTACCAGATAGCAACAAGTTTCAGTCACTATTGGATATGAAATAGTGATCTACTATTACAAACCCTCTGAGCCATCCAATGCCTGACAATCAATTTGCTATTTAATTTCATTGGATTATAAAATCAGTTCAATCAACAATGAGATCTTCTAGCTCAATAATTAGTTTATACAGTGGCCCAAGATAATTTTTGTGGGCACTTTCAAAATTTGTGGCTACATGACTTCCTACTCCAAGATGGACCCAGATCTCTTTTAATCTGCTTTTAATCTGAAAGTTTGAACAAATATTGCCTTATGATCACTTTCCCAGCCATGAGTCCCCTCCAGTTCCATTACATACTAACAAGTAGAGAATGACCTTTAGTAATAATGTCCCTTACCCTAAAGCAGTATTCATGGCAGTAAACATTGAGATGTTCTATCATTATCTTAGGGCAGTCTCGGATCTCACGGCCACAGTAAGTGCAGACACCTTCACATGACCTGTGGGGTTGGAGAGGAAAGGACTCGAATCACAACATCACCACACCTCAATAACACAAACAGTTCCTGTCCCTGACTAGGAGCAAAGGCAATCTTAGGTGTTAATCAGCACTACCATGCAATACAAAAGTGGACATCCATCCATATGTCTTGGCTGTGCCAAGAGCCAATACAGACACATCTGTGGTGTAGCAGGATTGCCAGAGTTCAAGGGAAAAGATTCCTCTGTTGTTACGCCAAAGCAGCATGGCAGCAGGAAGCACTGTTTTAATACCATCCCCAGTAACTCTGTGGCTGATGCTCTTTATTCTCCTTGGACAGTTCTAACCTTCCTTACAAGGAAGGCAAAGAAAAGGACATTATTTTACTGAACACCTAAATATGATATAAAAGACCATATACAGTAAAGCCTCAAAGAATGTTTCTTTATAACATCCCCTTGAAATCACTCCACTGCAATGAATTTTCCTACCTCTGGAAGGCACTGCTGTGCAGGTAGCTTGCTCTCTCTATGTCAGACAAATCAATCAGGCTGTCACTGGAGAAGAAAGAGAGAGATCATTACTTGACAGTCACATGTAGGAGCGGAAACATCAATCATCAGTGCAGAGCATCCAGAAATTCTAATTGGGTCACAGTGCTGCTGAGCAACTTCCCAGCTGCCTTGTCACTGACAAGAGGGTTGTCCCTTGTCAATTAAATATCAACAGACATTTTCTTAAAAGTGAGTGCTGTGCTGGTGAAAGGCAGCAAAGTGTCATCACTGCAGACTGAACTTTCCCATACGGGCATGTACTGCATGAGGGGCAGCAGAGCAGAAGCTTTCCCTGCTCTGGCACCAATGTGCCTCACTCTCAACCCAGAGGGACCACTCTGATGATGAGACAGAGTAATTTAGGCTCTGTGGCCCACCCAGTGCCTGGCCTTTCTGCTAAGTATGCTAACGAGGGTGCTAACCAAGGTATATGGTTTTGTAAACTGTGCGGAGGGTATGTATACAGGAAAAGCTGTGTACAGGCTGGCTTACCCAGCTAGCTTGAATCCAACTGGGAGGATAACTGAAGAGAGTGTAGTGCGGGCTTCAGAATGGGCAAGCGCTAGCATCTATGCCAAGCCCATACTACGCAGTCTGAAGCCCAAGTTGTGCTGCCTTCACTGCTATTGTTACCCACACTAATTGGATTCAGCTTAGTTCAAACAGGCTAGCTTGTGCACAGCTTTTGTTGTGTACAAGCTAGACATATCCTGAGACCACATATCCTAAGACCACTAACTCATTGGCCACTGGACAGACTGGGGTGAAATTCTGGCTCCACTGAAGTCTGAAAAAACTTCCATTGATTGCAGTGGGGCCATAATTTCACACAAGGTAGCCTATTAACATTTTAGGATATCATTAATATTGATTATAGTATAACTCCCAATACCTACCCAATGTGGTAGGCACTCCATAGACAAATAAAAATCACAATCCCTGCCCCAGTGAGCTTCATGTTTGTTTACTTTCTTAAAGACATTTGTGTTAGAAACACTATGGGTACCCGAGCGAATGCTGATATTCCAAATATAAAAGCACATCTCTAAGTCACTGAGGTCTGCTTTTGAGACCAGAATAGCTAGAAGCTGACAATGGTTACACTGCTGTGGCCAGCAGGTTATAAACTCTAGTGCTGTACTGCGTGAGGATAAAAATACAACAAGCATGCATTTTAACAGGATGTTAATGTTTACCAGGTGAGCATAAATAGAAAGCAAAGAGAGCCAAATACTGCTCTCAGTTATACTGGTGAGAATCTGGAATAACTTCACTGACTTTAAACAAAATTTAAAACACATTGTGAGTTTTTGCTTGAAAATAGATAATTTTCAATCAAAAATGGTCCTATTTTTGACAGAAAACACACTACAAATCTGTTTTTGCACCAAATCCAACCACTTTTGCAAATATGCAATGAAGCCCAACAGCATCAAACACTGAGATTTTGGAATTTCAGTGTGACTGTTTCACTGCCCTAACCCAACAGATGGAGTTCTGCATCTCCACTGTGGAGTGAGTCATGGACTGCTCATACCTGCTGTAGTGTGGAGTGGGAGATAACTCACGGCTGTTCACGTACTCCTTCACAAAGAGGATCCCTTTGCTAGAAAAGGATGGAGACAGTAACAGAAACATTCAATCAGAGGAGTCAGGAACGAATGGAAGTGTGAGAGAGACAATGTGCGTGTGCGTGTGCACATGCGTGTGCATGGCAAGGAGGAAGGTGGGATGCAGGTGCTATTGGATTATCACTAAATCTCAGTTTACATTCAGTTTGGCCATTTCCAACAATCTCAGGACTTAATAGTCATTAGCTATCTCTTGCTCTCTCTGTCCTTTAACATTAAAAACCTACTACTTTAGTGATATTTCGAATTATTGTCATTTCTAATTGATGGTTATCCTTTGTGTTGTTTTTCTTGCAGATCAGGAAACTGAACCTCCTTGCATTTGTCCATCCCCACACTTTGTATGCTCTCTTCAAAGTGACCTGCCCCCTGTGTGTCTGTACCTCTGTCACAGATCCTACACAAGACATCATTCCTGCCAGCATACTCCCAGAGCCTGTGAGAATGAGCTAATTAGAGGCCGAGTTCAAGCAACCCATCTTTCTCCATGGTTCATTTTCATGGCTGCCTTTGGGCTACGACTAATCCTTTCTTTTTATGTGATCAAATTAAACTGTGTTCCAGCTAAGGAAAGAAAAACAGAGCCTTTTCCTTTTGCATAGACTCTTCCAGAACCAGCATCTCAGATGAGCACTCTCTGCTTGCATAGTGATAGTTGTCATAAACAGTGTGGCACTATGCCAGGGGCACTTCAACACTAGCCAACAGATGCCCACATTGGCATCTTAGCAGGAGCTTGAAAGCTGCAGATAATTTGCATTAAATGGACCGATTTCAGCTTTAAGGTGCAACCTGTGGAGACTACAAGTGCCAGCATGCAATACCCTGGCTTGGCCAAGTTTATCCGACTAGGGCACTGTGGTCCTGCAGGCCAACCTTCTATAATAAAGCTACAGGTGCCTGTATGCTACATTGGCCTCTGTGGCTGTATTTTGGCCTTGCCTACAGGATGCTATGCCTTTACAGAATCACCCCTCCTCAAAAGTGAGTCCAGCTTGATAGACTGGCCTGTGACCCAAATGGAATCAGAGCTTTCCAATCTGGGGCTGAGTGAGCAGGGCAGGAAGGTTTGCAAGTTGCATCACTTCATTAGGTCATTCCATATTTCAGAGCTCATAAAGTATTTATCAGCCACATGAAACAGAACAGGTGAAGTCTACTCAGTGGGCCAAATTCTAGCTTTATCTTCTATCTCTAAGGTGGCTATCACCACAGTATCTAAGCACAGTGTATGCTTACAGGGCTCCCATTTCACTGCAATAGGAGCCATTCACATGCATCAAGGACAGGATTTGGCTCTCTGTGAGGATCTGTGCATGAGAAGAGAAGTGCTCAGGATAACAAACACAGGTTAAGTCTTCTCCACTCTTTACCTTGCAGCGCTGGGGTTGGACTTGTGTCCCATGGCTGATGGGCTGTGGTACTGAAAGCAGGCAGTAGACATGGAGATCCTCTCACTTGAAGCTGAGGGAAGCCTGCCAAGAGAGGGGAAAGGCTACAAACACATGGAACCTGAATTGCAACAGGTGTCAGGTCTGTGTGCTAGGGGAGAATGGAAAAGCAAGAACACAATGACATTGTTTCAAAGGTGTGGGACAATATTAAATCCCTCAGTTGCATGAAATAGCATCCTGATTTATATTTTGTCACAGGTAACACAGGCTCCTGTCCCTTCCCACACCTGACACACACAACATCTTAGAGAGAGGAGTAGCTTCTCAGGTGATTAATCCTGGGGCAGCACAGTGAAGGGAGGGTCAACTAAGAACTTCAAAAGACCAAAGTGTCATATAGAATCATCTAGCTATCTCTGTGATGGGAGAGCCATGGCCAAGTGGACAACCAGCACACAACACTGTACAACAGGAGAGGGAGAGAAACTACCTGGCCAGGTCCTTGGCACAAACTTTTAGCTTTAGAAAAAAAATGCAATGGGACCATAAGTGCCCATAGAGAGTAGAGTGTACTATGGTTTTTAAGATGTCACCAGAAATAGCCATGCCTAGCAACCTGTATGAAACATAACTAATCTGCCTTAGAAGGATAAAGGGCAGAGTTCATCCTGCCTAGAGTAAAACCTTGTGGCTCCAGGATATCTAGGAATTCCATGCCTGATGTTCATACCTATATGAAGTCCCTTCTGGGTGTAAACTACAGACCCAATACTCACAGCCTGCAGGTCATGCACCCTACAGACTGTCATGCTGTGCTTGTATGGGCTTAAATGCTGTAAAGTACTGTAGAAAAATCCACCCAATATATGAACTGCCATCTTCAACAGTCCAGTGGCATTTCTGGAGCCAATCTGACTGATCACTGGCTTTCTGGAGCTAGGGTACAGTGGGGTTTGCACTGCATATGGGAAGTCCACAAATGGAATGGCAAAGAATCTCCATCAAGCATTGTGTAGATGAGGACATACCACAGACCCATCCTGTGTAGCATCTGCTGGGAACAACTAATCCAGATTAAAGACAGTCCTGTGCATCTCAGTGGGTACAAGTGGTTCTTGTAACTGCAATCATTTTCCAGAGAATTAGCGATCACATCACCTTCATGACATCTCTCTGCCTTGAACTGGAGGTTAAAGATCTCAACTCTGCTTCCTGGCTCCCATCCCAAAGCCGCTGACTGCAGGCTTTTCCCATGGCCATCACCAGCCCCATCCCTTTACTTTCTGGTGTTATACTCTGTGCTGTCCATGCATGCTGTGACTTCCCTGTGACATAGTTACAATATTGTCTCTAGAATGGAAGTAGTATTTGTTTGTGACAGGGTGTACCTCCCCTGCACTGGCACACAGAGATTAACTGTGCATTGCAGGCCGAGGAGGACACGCCCCTCTGCTTCAGCAGGCTGCTGAAGGGAAAGGATACAGATTGCAGGCTCTGTCTCTGGAGCTGCTACATGCCCCAACTACAGATCCAAGATGCACCAAGCCCCAGACAGATTCCAGGCTGCCTGCAGAACCCAGAGAAGGGACCGAGCCAGCAGCAGCTGCATTGGCCAAGGACCCCAGAGACCCAGGGGAACAGTGAACCAACACCAAGGAAGACAGGGTAGGAAACAGCCCAGGGGAGTTAGACATTGCTCTGGTTGGAGAACCAGGGAACAGGTCAGTGTGTTTCGGGGGGATCCCCGCTGACTCAGTGGCGAGCGACCCTGGGTTGGGACTCGGAGAAGCAGGGAGGGCCTGAGTCCCCATCCCGGGTGCCACACACCCCTAGATGGCACCCCACTTCCCCAACAGGCCAACACAGGCCCACGGACATAGGCAGCTTTATTGACTCCTGCCAATAGGCCACACAACCCCACAGAAGTGGGCTATTCCATTGACTCTGGCCATAGGGCCACATAGCCCCATGAGGAAGAGTACCTTTATTGACTCCAGCCACTAGGATGTACTACCTTGTATTATAGTCAGGATCACCAGCATAGGACCTAACTGGCTGTGGTACATCCTTTCCCTTTCTTTGGACCAGATGGTACCTGACACCCCATGACAGGGTGTACCTACACTGTTATAAAGAATCAATACAGCCTCAGAGAATGAACGTTAATGTGTGATGAAGAATCCACAAACATTCTGAATACTCATTATACTTCCTCATCCCCATCCCCCCAACGCTGAAATTGAAATCCTCAAAACACACTGATTTAAAACATAATCCAGCTAACGGCAATGCCCTGGCCATGACTTCTGCCAGGGGTTCAATAGGAACAGGCCCACTATGCTCAAGGAATTGAATGAACCAAGTGATAGCACACTATTTGGCCTCACAAATAAGGGTTTCATCCTGCTGGCTCCTTACTTTCCCATATTGGAGTCGAATTCATTGTGCCCTCTTGCTCTCATATCTGATGTCCCTGGGCTACTTCTCCCTTCATAACCTGGGACAGATCTGTTAAGGAAGCAAGAAAGCCCAATAACAGCTCCTGGACATGACATGTAGCAATTCAGGTGTCAGTCAATTCCAAATATTTTGGCTCAGTGGAGATATTTTAGCTCCTTTTCTGCCCTTCCCTGCTTCACACACCCAAGTTCTGCAATGCAGCAAATCATTCAAGCAATCACTCATGGCGATCGGGGGAAGTCCCGGATGACTGGAAAAAGGCTAATGTAGTGCCCATCTTTAAAAAAGGGAAGAAGGAGGATCCTGGGAACTACAGGCCAGTCAGCCTGACCTCAGTCCCTGGAAAAATCATGGAGCAGGCCCTCAAGGAATCAATTCTGAAGCATTTAGAGAAGAGGAAAGTGACCAGGAACAGTCAGCATGGATTCACCAAGGGCAAGTCATGCCTGACTAATCTAATTGCCTTCTATGATGAGATAACTGGTTCTGTGGATGAGGGGAAAGCAGTGGACGTGTTGTTCCTTGACTTTAGCAAAGCTTTTGACACAGTCTTCCACAGTATTCTTGCCAGCAAGTTAAAGAAGTATGGGCTGGATGAATGGATTATAAGGTGGATAGAAAGCTGGCTAGATTGTCGGGCTCAACGGGTAGTGATCAATGGCTCCATGTCTAGTTGGCAGCTGGTATCAAGTGGAGTGCCCCAAGGGTCGGTCCTAGGGCCGGTTTTGTTCAATATCTTCATAAATGATCTGGAGGATGGTGTGGATTGCACCCTCAGGAAGTTTGCAGATGACACTAAACTGGGAGGAGAGGTAGATATGCTGGAGGGGAGGGATAGGATACAGAGGGAGCTAGACAAATTGGAGGATTGGGCCAAAAGAAATCTGATGAGGTTCAACAAGGACAAGTGCAGAGTCCTGCACTTAGCACAGAAGAATCCAATGCACCGCTACAGACTAGGGACCGAATGGCTAGGCAGCAGTTCTGCAGAAAAGGACCTAGGGATTACAGTGGACGAGAAGCTGGATATGAGTCAACAGTGTGCCCTTGTTGCCAAGAAGGCCAATGGCATTTTGGGATGTATAAGTAGGGGCATTGCCAGCAGATCGAGGGACGTGATCATTCCCCTCTATTCGACATTGGTGAGGCCTCATCTGGAGTACTGTGTCCAGTTTTGGGCCCCACACTACAAGAAGGATGTGGAAAAATTGGAAAGAGTCCAGCAGAGGGCAATAAAAATGATTAGGGGACTGGAACACATGACTTATGAGGAGAGGCTGAGGGAACTGGGGTTGTTTAGTCTACGGAAGAGAAGAATGAGGCGGGATTTGATAGCTGCTTTCAACTGCCTGAAAGGGGGTTCCAAAGAGCATGGCTCTAGACTGTTCTCAGTGGTAGCAGATAACAGAACAAGGAGTAATGGTCTCAAGTTGCAGTGGGGGAGATTTAGGTTGGCTATTAGGAAAAACTTTTTCACTAGGAGGGTGGTGAAACACTGGAATGCATTACCTAGGGAGGTGGTGGAATCTCCTCCCTTAGATATTTTTAAGGTCAGGCTTGACAAAGCCCTGGCTGGGATGATTTAATTGGGGATCGGTCCTGCTTTGAGCAGGGGGTTGGACTAGATGACCTCCTGAGGTCCCTTCCAACCCTGATATTCTATGATTCTATGATTTGAGGTTCGAAGGCCATGTAACCAGTTCCTGCAAGAGCAAACACTAATACTTGATTACTATCTTGAGGCATCTCTTGCATAGCAGCCTGGAAATTGACCTGTCTTGAACTCCGTTGGAGAAATGAAGTATTTTTATGCCCATTTTATAGATCAGGAGCTGAGGCACAGAGAGATGAGATGATTTGCCCAAGGACACAGAAACGCAATGAGATAAAGTCATGAATCATAGGGTTAGAAGGAACTGCAAGGGTCATCTAGTCTAACTCCCTGCCAAGATGAAAAAAAGGTCAGGCTGGCCACCTCGATGCAGAACCTCACACTCTCTTCTTTTGCTGAGGAGCTGGAAATCAGAGACTCTTGTTGGCTAAGGGCACAGCTTCACTCCCAGAAAACACCCCAGCATGCTAAAGCTAGGGATTGAACCAGAGACCTTTCAACCTTCAGTGTAACACTCATCCAATAGAGCTACTTCGGCAACTAAATGAGCCCACATCTCCCAAGTCCCAGTCCAATGTCTGAACCTTGCTGCATTCTGTGATGTCTGGTAACACTACTCCACATGTTACTGCTGCCAATCGGTACAAAACAGGCTCCCATAGCTTGTTCTCCAATTACAGACCACAGTCTACAGGATGCCTGGGCCTGGGCATAAGACTCAACTTTGCTTTCAGACCCCTAGCCACACAGCAGCTTACTCTAGGTATCTCCAAGGTCTTTCCATGACCATTCCTAACTCCCTTTCCTTCTGGTGTTGTAAACTTGGTTGTCCAGATATGATGGGATCCTCTGACTGAGCTGTGACATGCTGATGTTGTATTGCTGGCAGTTCAGATATGAAGGCATCACATGACAGGTCTCTATCATGCTGAAAGTACTCTGTCTAGAGTGGGAGTTGGACCTGTTAAATATTAGAGTCACTGCAGCCTGTAAAGTCCCCCAGAGAATG